GTATAGCATACCATTTCAAAAAAATGAACGTAACCATAAAATCTTAAAAATTCAGCCACCTGCAAATAAATTATTACTGTTATCTTATGACTCCCTTGAAGCCGTACAACTTTTGTTAATAAAGTTTTTCTATATCTCCAAAAATAACTGAGATATTCAAAATAATCAAAGTTATATTGCCACACCCTGTATACATATACAGCGTGTTCGCGATAATTTGTATCAACGTTTTGTTCGTTAAAAGACAGAGTGGAAAAACTTGTATATTTTGCTAGCAATATGATAGAATGTCTTAATTTGTTGTATTTTTAATATTTTTCTAAAAACAAAGGTAACCTTAATCTTTTTTGTTCGAATGCTACATATTTTTGTACATCATATGAAAGCGGGTATAAAAACGAGTTCAATCGTATAGTATACTATGATCTTCAAGGTCATACATGACCAGAAGTAAAAGAAATAAAAATATTTCATAATGTCGTATTTTCTAAGTATGTGTAGTAATAAGACGACATGCTGTGTTCAATGTAATTTCCATTAGCAAGAATGCATTTCCGAGTCCTGTTGACCACACTCCTGGTAGTTTTTGTCAATGTTAGACATGGATGCACACGCTTTTTTTTATCTTAGTTTATAAGTTGTTTAAATTTCTCTTCCCTACAAAAAAATCGCTGTTTCGCAGAAATGCACTGAAACTAAAGAAATAGGCTTGCTTATGATAGTATCACACTGACACAATCAGTGGAAGTCATATTGGACATGATATGTATACATTGGACAGCATAGAATGACCTGAATGGTCTTCAAACAAACCTTGAAATCCACCCAGTAAATATTTTCGATCATTAGGAAACAAGTTAAGTTTCATTTCACACACTTTTTGCAACGAACTATAGTTTAAGAGATAATTGAGTGCGTTACTTCAAATGGGACAGCTTGTATTGTATGTAATGCCAACGGTATGATAATTTAAAAATGTTTGTATCTCGAATAAGAGATACATACAAGTTACATTTAAGTAGTGTTTTAAAAACGCTTTGATGTCCGCTACAACAATATCCAATGAAAAATACAGGTTTCAATTTAAAAATTTGAAGTCGACCTTTGTAAGTTATTCCCAAAGTTACCACAAGGTCCAATAAATAACAACACAATCTGCCCCTCTCGAACCATACAACGTCTGTCTGAAACATTTTTTCATATCATTTGAACTTTTTAAGATATTTGCCATGGAATATTAAAATGGGACACCTTATATATGTATAACAGTCAAATGTTTTTAAAACAAATAATGAGGTCAGGCTTAATCTAGACTTAGCCTAGACCTACTCTGATCATTCTTTTAAATATTGAGAATAAAACATTATTATTCTGTTAATAACTTTCTAATAAACAACGAGCTTATGTTTCAATAAACATCAAACTCGTGAGAATGACCTTAACAACACTGGAAGGTGTTCCCCTATTGCAAATATATATAGTAATAGTAATAGTAATAGTAGTAATAGTAGTAATATATATAATAAATAGTTATCAAATTGTTTCGTTAATAATTTTTTAACAAAAAACAAGCGAAGCAAAAACACTGACCGTTACTCTGAGGTGTGACCTCGACAACACTTATCATGATCAAGGTTATTTTAAGATGCTCCCCTATTGCAACTACGTATTTACCATTCTTTTTTTATGAAACAATGACGGTTTAAATATCGAAAATTTTCGCAGACAATTTTTCAAATTGGAGATCTATAGCGTACCAGTATGACTCATTTCAGGCTTGTCTTGTTCAATTAGAAGCTTGAAGATGGCTGAAAATGCATACCGAGTTGTTGACTTACCGAGGTAGTTTTCATTGGGGCCAATGACGTCGTGGACGTTGTAGTTGTCGGCGGAGGCGTGGTGACGTTCACAGACGTCATCGTAGTCCTAATGGTGGTGAGCATCGTCGAAGTTGGATTATCATCTTCGAGAAGATTCTCGGTAGATGTTCCGGTACCGTTTATCGGTGCCTCGATGCAACATCGCATGCTAGTAGGGCATTGCACATGCTCGAGTACTTCGTAGCATATCAAGGTTGCGAACGCATGCACGCATACTCCTGGACAGTCTGCACTGTTAGCTGTACTCGTTATGGAATCGAGCAAGCCTGTAACATACCGTATCGAAATATTATCCTAACAATGGCTGTTCAATAGAATTATTTGTTTATTCAATGAATCGAGTGCCACATTAGAAATACATAATTGACACAATTTTTTTTCTCAAAGCTTTTAAAAACTGTGTATTCCTACAATCTATGATTAAATAAACCGAACTTCGTTAGAATCCACAGTTACTCGCTAAAATCTTCGAACATCTTTTAACCCGAGAAAGATAACCTACGTCACAGAGGCGCCTGCGAAGACTGTTGATTTTTGTTAATTTTTCATAGAGGTCTAGTGATTTAAGTTTAAAATTACTTAAAATATAAAAAAATATAATATAAATGCATTTTATTTTTACAATAATGCCAAACCTTTAAAATGACTAGATTAACTTAAATAAATATCCATTGTTAGTATAAAATTGACGCCTTAGAAAAGCATGCGCCTCTGAAGCGTATGGTTATCTTTTACGTACGTTGTCATATGGTTATCTTTCTAGGGTTAAAGAGGGGCAACTTGTTTAAGATTGCATCACATAACTTGAAATTTTTCATATACTGATCTATATGTACATACTATGTTCAACGAGAACTGGCAAAAAGTATAAACGGAACGTTCACGTGATCGGTGCTGCGCGGCTGCAGCTGAATGGCTAAACGACGATGCTCAGGGACCAATTTTAGGGGACCCTTATCGAGGGTCCTTGCATGCAGAGTACATAGCCTCATGTTGAAGGGCCCCAAAATTGTGATTCGACCCTGGCTCGATCACGCGACGCTCGCATTCAGCTGTTTACATTTTGTGTCAATCCTCGTTGAACAAAGCATACATAGTTCGCAGATGGACATCATACGAATAAAATTTAATTCGAAGAATTTATTCGAATAATGCCCAACTCTGATCTACTTTATTACACAACGGGCGGAACAAGTTATGCGAAAGTTGCAACTGGTTAAAATAACAGAGAAAGGAATATAAAAACGGTAAATAGAACTTTTTTGCCCGAGCCTATAACGAAGATTTGACCCTCGCATGACGATCGCTGAATCTGCGGTGACCTTTGTATATCACATGCAAGAAGATATAATAAATTACTTATTACAACAAATAAACAAAATAAATAATTTTTTATTCCCTACCACCTTTCACGATGGCAATGTTAACAATAATCAAGAAATAAATAAATCAATGGAAGTGGAATAAAGTTCTTATTCCAGTATGGGTCATGTGCGACCTGGTCACCGGCCACCACGGACCGTNCTGTTGATTTTTGTTAATTTTTCATAGAGGTCTAGTGATTTAAGTTTAAAATTACTTAAAATATAAAAAAATATAATATAAATGCATTTTATTTTTACAATAATGCCAAACCTTTAAAATGACTAGATTAACTTAAATAAATATCCATTGTTAGTATAAAATTGACGCCTTAGAAAAGCATGCGCCTCTGAAGCGTATGGTTATCTTTTACGTACGTTGTCATATGGTTATCTTTCTAGGGTTAAAGAGGGGCAACTTGTTTAAGATTGCATCACATAACTTGAAATTTTTCATATACTGATCTATATGTACATACTATGTTCAACGAGAACTGGCAAAAAGTATAAACGGAACGTTCACGTGATCGGTGCTGCGCGGCTGCAGCTGAATGGCTAAACGACGATGCTCAGGGACCAATTTTAGGGGACCCTTATCGAGGGTCCTTGCATGCAGAGTACATAGCCTCATGTTGAAGGGCCCCAAAATTGTGATTCGACCCTGGCTCGATCACGCGACGCTCGCATTCAGCTGTTTACATTTTGTGTCAATCCTCGTTGAACAAAGCATACATAGTTCGCAGATGGACATCATACGAATAAAATTTAATTCGAAGAATTTATTCGAATAATGCCCAACTCTGATCTACTTTATTACACAACGGGCGGAACAAGTTATGCGAAAGTTGCAACTGGTTAAAATAACAGAGAAAGGAATATAAAAACGGTAAATAGAACTTTTTTGCCCGAGCCTATAACGAAGATTTGACCCTCGCATGACGATCGCTGAATCTGCGGTGACCTTTGTATATCACATGCAAGAAGATATAATAAATTACTTATTACAACAAATAAACAAAATAAATAATTTTTTATTCCCTACCACCTTTCACGATGGCAATGTTAACAATAATCAAGAAATAAATAAATCAATGGAAGTGGAATAAAGTTCTTATTCCAGTATGGGTCATGTGCGACCTGGTCACCGGCCACCACGGACCGTCATACGAGGGTGAAACGACGCATTTTGCAGATCTCGATAACTTATATGCAGTTACTTTCGTGAGCTACAAACAATTAAAGATAGCGAAAATCATAGCTTTTTTCACGACTTTCTATCAATAATTAAGAGATCTGGAGAATTTTACATCTTTCAATGTATGTAGCTGATAGCAACATTAACTGACTTCGATTAAATCTTTGGCATACACATAGGTTACCAAGATCGAGAAAACTGTCTAAATTTTTCATTTTTTTCTTTGTCAACCAATTGTAACTTTTGTAAAAATTTGTTTAAACATTGCGTAATAAACTAATATGTCCAAAATATTCAGGTCATACAATATTGTATGTATGTATGTATGTATGTATGCATGTATGTAACATTGCATTAGTCTCTGCTGTGTGTGGATGGTTTGTATGATTTTCTTGTTTTATTATACGGTGACTGATCGATTCTAGAGCGTTCCCCAGTCTTCCTTAGGCTGATATAAATGTATTTTAAAACATGATCCACAGCTCGAAGACACTTCAGATGAGAGCGCAGAGACCGTTCTGTTCTTCTTTCGAAGTCAGTTCGAATTTGAATACTTGTGTCTGCACGATGAGCACTAAGAGAAACGAAATAAGTGTAGAAATGCTTTCTACAATTCTTACTCTATCCAAAGAAGGATATTCCGTACAGGAAATTGCAAGAAAAGTGAATGTATACAAATCTTGTATTGACTATAACAATAATAATTTCAAACATTTTTTTAGATAGTAGTAATAGTTAAGGAAGTGTCCACATACTTTTGAGTGACATTGTATATAAATAACTCAATCTGAAGCCATCCACAAACAGACTATTTATTGCAATGATTACTAAAGATCTAGCATCTTATCAAAATAAATGTTGCATCATTCGAACATTGACGTTCTCAATATTAACTTGCATAACCAAAACTCAAAACTGTATTTATGATTGGCATAATGGTATAACTACTGAAAAATCAAACTCAATTATGTATTATCACTATATATAATTCATCACAATATAATTATGTATATCCCAAAACTTAAAGAGTCAGACTGCCGAGCCATAATCTACAATAATCGCAATAAGGAAAAGAAGTATTTATAATGATTGTCAGGAGACATTTTGTTACAGATTTAAGGCAAACATTGTACGTATGAGATATACAGGGTGTCTCATTAAAGTTGCGATTGCGAAAAATCTTGTAAACATGTAATTAAAAAAAAAAGAAACTGACACGTGTCCTTTAGTATTTCGAGTGGGAGTCAAATAGCACTAGTCTTTTAATGCGTTAGCGTTTTCAAGGTTATCTCAAGGTCATCTTGTTTCTTTTTTATCATAAACCTATATCTTTTATTTCGGAATCATATTCTACATAAAAAAATATAGAACTTTTGTTTAAAACTTTTTTTTTGTAAGTTCAATATTTTTTAAGATATCTAGCCGATTTTTGTGTTTCTATTAAAATGACGACGTTACTTTCTTCTGAAAGATATTTTATTTCATTCAAGAACATCATATTAAACAAAAATGTTTCAAACAAAAGTTGTACATTTTTTTATGTAGAATATGATTCCGAAATAAAAAATATAGATATATCATAAAAAAAGAAAGATGACCTGCAATAACCTTGGAAACGACCACGTATTGAAAAACTAGCAGCGCCATTTGACTCGAAAATACTGATCTCGAAATACTGAAAAACATGTGTCAGTTCGTACTTCTTTTTCAAATCACGTGTCTACGAGATTTTTTACAATCTCAACTTAAATGGAATATAACCCTGTGTATCTCACGTTTTCAATTACAATACACAGAGAGTCGATTATGCTGCAATACTCTCTGCTCTGCAATACTCTTACTAGCAGTTAGTTCTGAACGATCATCCAAAGTAACATCATCAAAATGCCAGAAATATTTGCCAATGATAAATACGTATGAATACGCGAAAATGAAGCCCTCGTGTTTTGATTATCCAAGTTTGGGACACCAAGTACGCGATGTTTTGTATCGTTTTTATTGTAAATAAATTTTATTATAGTATTGTTTTAATAGTAGTATTAAATTTTATTAATATATTTAATTAAGGATTATTTTACAATAATAATTCTATTACCTTAATTAAATGCACTAATAAATTAAAATTTTATTATAGGAAATATAAAATTTTAATAAAATTTTTATTATAAATAAATTTTATTATAGTATTAGTTTAATAGTAGTATTAAATTTTATGAATGCATTTAATTAATAATTATTTTATAGTAATAATTTTATTATCTTAATTAAATGCATTAATAAATTAAAATTTTATTATATGAAATAAAATTTTAATGAAATTTTTATTTTAAATAAATTTTATTATAGTATTAGTTTAATAGTAGTGTTAAAATTTATGGGTATATTTAATTAAAGATTATTTTATAATAATAATTTTATTGTCTTAATTAAATTTATTAATAAATTAAATTTTTATTATAGGAGATGAGATATATATACGCACAGCTCCGATGACCTTGATTTCGAAATATGTTTTCAGGGACACCATTCTGAGTAATCTTCGCTTTTACAGTCTAGCTATTCGATCAATAATATCCCGCAGACCTAAGAATTCTTCGTATTTAAGAATTCTTCGTGTCTAAGAATTTTTCGCACTTATTGGTACTCCAAATTCTTCGTGTAAAAAATTAAAAAGAAACCGAGAGTAACTGATCCAAAAATAGCAATTGAA